AGGGGGGGGGGGGGGGGGAAATCCATTAAATCAGCTGACCCAAAAATGTTTCATTCTGAATTGAAAACAAGCAGATAGTGTCTTCCATCAGTATGGGGAAGGGAGGAAAAATGGAGCTGACCTATTGCAAGGAATGCCCCAGCTCCACATACTGTCACTGTGGATATTTTTCTGATAACTTCTTAAGACTAATACCATATCGAGTCATACCAGATGGTCATTCTTTTTGACAAGTCCTCTACTTAAGCCTGTAGCCCACATCTCTCTGCAGGCCACCAACTTACCAAATCAGTCAGAGTCAGATCCAAACTTTGTTAATCTGTTCTAAAACAATCCAAACCTCAACCTGACCAAACTCAGGAACCCAGCATATCCAGCTCTAAATGAACACTTCAATAAATAAACAATGGCCAACACACAAGAACGAAATTCAGGCAGCAATTTTCTACTAGAATTATTCTCATGTTAGAGACAGCAGAGGTGCTCTAAGTCACCTCAAGGGCTGTTGTAATTAACACAACAGCTACCTATTATAAATCTGAGAATGGTGCTTTTCTCCTTCAGGTAAGGAGACTAGAAAACATTACGGTTTTATATTTGATCAGATTCTCTGCTTAATCCGCAGCAAACAGGAGAGGCCCAAGAAATTCCTGCTTTAAAGAACTATATACCTTGTATCTCTTATAGATTAGGCAAAGTTCATCTGCCACTTATCTTCCCTAGTCCTTCCCAGCCACTGAAGTCCAAATGCCTCCACATACCACATCTATTTCTTTTTACCATTAGAACAATACAGAGCCTTGCAAAGCTTCATATCCTGTTCTCCCCCAAGTCCGGGAGCTATGAATTTCTATTTTCATACAACATTCTTACTTCTTTGTCAGGAGGGAGGAGTCCCTTTAAAGTGTTCATATTTTAGTTTCCCTTGGAGTAGTCAGAACCAAAAGTCAAACATCACTATGGTGAATATAAAGTTCCACAAGCTTAGTCAGTTATATTTTTAAGTTAGCCTGGCTACAAACAGACTTGCTACACTGTTTTTGGCTTGGGAGTCTGACTTCTCCTACATTAGCTCTCCTCCTGACTGCATCTCAAGCTGCTACCACTTCATAACAGTGTTCTTTCTGCTTCTAACATGGGGATAAAACACAAGTTGGTGGCTCAGATTCATTTCTGACAGTCTAATGCAGACTGGGGATACCATGTGCCTCCTGTCTTCCTCTTCGTATTTCAGCCTGAGTGTAAACAAACTGTTGAGCAGTAATAGTCATCCTAAGCAGTCAAAAAGATATCAATACCATGTGGCTGTAGCTGCTGTTTTTCAACCTTGGCAAGAGGGATTCCCCCCCACTCCCCAAAAACAGGGAGTAGCAGCCCAGGATCCTGCCGTAGGACTATCAAAGAACAGCAATTAAGATGGAGTGAAAGAAATGGAAAACTCCCTCCCAAAGATATCAGCCAGTGAAAGTAAGATGCAAGACAGGGCAAAAGGAAGGAACCAAAGGTTTACTATTCTCTCTCTTTAATGTGGGTGGAACACTAGCAACTTAAGTCATTAAATCAGGTGTATGAACATATGAAAAGCCATATGGTTCCTTGATATTCAAGGTAACAGAGTATATATACTTAAGGTCAAAAAATTAGAATGCAAGGCATGCATCTTAGCATCTAAAACGCTATAGTTTTAGAGGGGACTTTTGACTTGTATGAAATGAAGACGCTCTAGTTAAGTTTGAATCTATTATGGAAAAATAAAACTTTACAATGTCAGGCAAACAGGGGATTCTAATCACCAGAAATCTCTTCTACTTGAAGCAAGTAAGTGCAATTTTATGTAAGAGTTACTGTTAGTACAGAGTTTCCATTTGTAAGAACACTACCTCCTTTTCCCATCTACACTTCCTTAGACTACACAGAATCCACCCTTAATCTTCTGCAAGGAAGCATCACCTCCATCGCTGGCCTTGTGCCCAGTTACAAGCTTGTAATGACAAGGACAAACAGTGCAGTCATGTTTACAGCACTCTCACATCCTGTTGACCTCCCCCTAAACCCCTCAACTCTCCCCCTTCCTCTCCCCCCTGCCTCCAAAAAACAAACTGCAAACACAAATGCTTCAGAAGTAGTCAATACCTACTGGAGAACAGAGGTCCTTTATCATAGATAAATGTTATTTCTTTCTAAGAAACCTGGTCTCCTGCAGTATTATTTATCTCCTGGAAAAAAAGTAACAGGGTGCTGTGAAAACTATTTATTCTTTTAACATAAGAGATAAATAGAAGATTCAAATTAACAGTAATAAGGAGAACAGTACTGTTCCTGTATTGCCTTCTTCAGTGCAAGAGAAAGAAAACTCATAGCATTAGAAAGATGAAGACAAAGAAGAAAGCAGCTAAACTTCTACTGCCAATTCAGCATACCACAGGAGGCCAAGCAATGGAATTACTACCACACTAATACAGGCAAAGCTATCTTTCCAGGGATAGCTATCCTGCTGGGAAAGACAAATAAATAACCCCTAAACAAAAACAAATTTTGGTTAAGTTTCCATGAACAACAGATGCACGCAACACAAAAGGCTACATGGTAGTTTCTTCCTCCATCTACCACCCAACCCTCAAGCAGATTGTCTTTGCAGGATAAAGAACTCATCTGTGTATGCTGAAGACCATCAGTATTTCAGGATGGGCTCTCATAACATGTTATGAAGAGGTTCAGATGGCAGGTGAATTATAAGAGGGCTGCAGAGATCTAAGGTGCGATTACACCAACATAGATTTGGGGGGGGGGAAGCAAAGCAACCCTCTGTCTCAGTATGACAGAATGTCAACAGTTGGAACCTGAAACTTGCAGGAGGAAGAAATCCCAGAACCTTTTAAAAAAACATAAGAGGACATCAAGAAAATGTGTGCATTACTGATGAATTAGTAAATGGTCCATAAGTAACTAAACAATGAAAGGATTTTTCACCCTCCACCTGTTTTTGAGCTTACCTTGCTTCACTTCTACCCTCACAACCATTTGCTATTGAAATCCACAAGGGGCTTGTATCCTCTTTTCTCACCTTCCCCAAGTTTCCGTTGAAGTGGTTGCAAATTGGTCCCTTTCAGCTGGTGAACCATAAGGAGACATGTAGGATAAACCTACAAGGCTGCCCAGAACAATAGCTTCTGTTTTAAAGTGGTATTACAATTAAGAAAAAATTTGCTAATGGGTTATTAGGCAATTATCTTTCCTCTGCATGCCCCTAAATCACATTAACACTAATCACACGTAGAGCAGACAGCACAGCTTCTTTTTTTGTGGTCCAACTCTGCAGTCCATCTCCACCACACAGTTCCAAGTAAAACTTCATAAATTAAAGATCCTCCAAGCAAGAATTCACCTTTACAAGTTTTTATCTCTCACGTCCTGTTCCTAATACTGTGATACATCTTTTTTCCAGTTCTCAGCTTTTAGAAGCAATAGATATGAGAAAATGAAACACAAACAAGACCATGGATGTGCTTAAATAACAGCAATGGTAATAGTTAGAAGACCACAGTCTTTCCATCCAGACAGTGCTATTTCCAAATGCTTTCAAAGCAGAACTTCAGAAAAAACCTAGTACACAAACCTGATGTTTTCTCCAGAAAGCTCTGAATTCTGTCATTTGAAGGTATGTGACTATTTTAAGAAGAATTTAAATAGCTCCTATTTACTAGAGTAAAAGAATATGGAAGAACAAAACATGTGATTTGAGAAATTCAGCAATGAGTTCAAGGGTATTACTTGGCTGGATAGACTCAATGCACAAAATGATGTGAACAGCATCATGTTCTTCAAGCGTTTCTTAAATCAGTATGGGAATGGCAGGCATTAAAGCACTCAGTATACCAACACAGAAAATGCATGCACACGCACAACTGTTTCTCAGGAGCTGGAGAACATGGAGGTATGCAGGCTCAGGGACTCAAGCTCTTTGTTCTAGGGGCCCCCACAAGCCTACCAATGGGAACTCTTTCATGTATTCCACACACACAGGAACGACTGCACAGCACACACAGGCTGGCATACACTAAGGCATCCTTTTCCGATACCGTAGAAAAGAGGCAGGCATTACTTTCCCTTGTGCACGGGTGGCTCGGGGGCATTTTGGGTTTCGTGATCCCAATCGAAGCGCAGAGCGGGGAGCCGCCCCCGGCCA